ATAGTCAGGCAATCAGTTTTTTAATTGACTGAGTTTTGCAGCTTAAGTATATAAATTATTTAATATTAATTTGAAAGAGTTGAAGGCTTTTCAAAAATGACGTTTAACTAAAAGTTTTCTTAGCACCCAAGGCCTTAAGCCAAGCCAAATAGTATTTGTTACAGGATCAGCTCAAATCTATCCCTGAGTGTAGCTGCACTTTTTTACGTGCAACACAACAGGAACTAAATGTGCGTGTGTGTGTGTGTGTGTGTTGTTAAGTACTTAGTCACGGATTTGCGCGACTTTTTTTGTTAGGGCTAAACTTTTTTATTATATACACCAATGTGTTGCAAAAGTGGCGGTCAGCGCAGCCAACCAGTTGCCATAGCGAGCGGCAGGGCGGGTGTCCGCTTGCGGCTGCTGCGGTCGCATCCTCTAAAAGCTAAAGAACCGCCGCAGCCATATAGCCATGTAGCCATATGCAATGTCCTGGCCATGAGTCGTATCAATTAAGATACCCGAGGGACGACAAAACCGAATGCATAGAATTTACAAAGTGCCAAAAGGTTTGCCGTCTGACCGACCGACCGACCGACCGACCGACCGACCGTACGACCGACCGAGCGACCGTCTGTCTGTCTGTCCCGACTTTGTACAATATTGTGGTTTGGCTTACAGTTTATTAATGCATATTGCGTATTTGTTTAAAGTGCGTACAAACTGTGTCTGTGCCATGCTGCACGTGGGGCAAGTAGCTTATCATTTATGGCTGCCCAGTTCACGTTTTCAATTGCTGCCACATGCAAGGCAATTAATTTGCATTTCATTGATATGCGCAATCACACACACGCACACGCACACCCGCAGAGCGCAGGCCTAGACGGACACACACACACACGAACACACATTTTCATTTGGCTGCACTCACGCATTCCTCCATTTTGCAATATTTGTTTAGGATTATTATCGGTTATTAATGTTGCTGTAATTGAAAATTATTTTCACTTTTATGCTTATCATTATCAGCGGCCATTACAACAGCCAACTGGCAATTGGCAACTGGCAACTGGCAACTGGCAACTGGCAATTGGCAACTGGCAACTGGCAACTTGCAACCGGCCATGTGGCATGGTTGCTCGCTTAATATATTCACATACGCATTCGCATTGCATCGTTATCACTGGGGAATTATTGTTTACCGAGATTTAAGCGGTCCTTTTTATTAATTTTTGTTTTTGTGCACGCATCGTATATCTCATATACATATGTATGTATATTCACACATATATGCATTCACAAATTTATGCACTGGCCAATGCATATTATGCCGTTTGTCCATCTGCCAATTATTCAGATACATATACTTTTCGCTTTCTTTTTTTTAATTTTATCTAAAAGAGCAGTTAATTGAACATGATTAAAGAGTTGATTACAATGCGCAGGCATTTAATAGCAGCTTGTTGAGTAGCTTTTGAAAATAATGTAAATTTCAAATATTTAATTCCCACATTAATTTACCGTGATACGCTATAATAGCAAGAATTACTTCATACTTTGCCAGCAAATTCATCAAATAGAATGCAATTAACTCGGCAAATAAGATACGCATTCCCATTCAATCTATCGAGCACTTATATACAAAGCTTTCTTTAAAATAAAAATAATACAAATATTAATTATAATAATACAAAATAATAAAAATACTAAAACTATCCAGATAAAAATTAATTCAAATTTTTGATGTTTTATATAATACTCTCAAGATGTTGATGTATTATTTCAAAATACTTCTAAAAAAATGTTAAATGTTATAAAAAAGAACAGGAAATTTAATAAAGTTTTTATATAGTTCCTGATTATTTTATTTACTTTACAACTTATTTTTTTAATATTTTAAAAACTTTATGATTTAAAAAAAAAAAACAAAGTTGGTAGTTAAACAAAAACTACATTTTAGCTTAGCGTGCCTCAATTTTCACTACAAATAAACTTTAGTAGGAAATTAAAAAAAGATCTGTTCCTAGCACGCCAAAGATTTAATACCCTTGCACACATATGGCTTTCTAATTTGCAAAGAGGCGAAGAGCATTGTGTAGATCATTATTACTGCGTTTGGAAACAATATCTTGGAAGACAATAAACCTTGCCACACAAAATCACATTTTTCGACTGAGACACGTTAAGCTATAGTCAAGCTGGTTGAGATCAAGATATTTTCAAAAACAAAATAATGTCTTATATAAAATCATAATTTACGAAGGCAAAGTTTCATGACGACAGACATAAAACAGAGATGTCTCCTTCAAACAAATCCCTACCCAAAAGTATACAAATGAAACATATGAAGTCACAAGCGTAATGATCCGTATTCGCAGCACATATTCATTTCACTATAGTTTTTAACTGTAAAACTAACGTTTGAAACTTATCATATAATGAATTATGAAGTAATATAATAATCAAATGATTTAAATGCCATTAAACAATATATGAAAAACAATAATTAATAATAATAAAAATGCATTATAAATTTCTTGAATAAACAAATTCTATCGCTAACTTTAAGGTGAATAAATTAAATAGCAAGAAATCATATTAATGAAAAAGTATATATGAAAATATATAAAAAAGGTAATAAATACCTCTGCATCTTTAACATATAACCAGACAATAAATATCGGCTGTAAGCTATACATGAAAGGTACTCGGAATTAAAAATGTAATTGGCAGCATTCTCGAATTCATTTGTTAAAATTACTTAGCAGCGGAAGCGCAGCTCGGGGCATTATTAAAAATCAGATTGAAAATGAAAAAGTATTTTTTGCGCAATTAAATCAAAAAGTATATCGGATTGCCCTTCAATAATAGCCTACGGACAAACGGACTTTGGATCCCAATCAATACAACTGGCGTTGATTTTCTCTGTTGTCTTTGTTTACCGATTATTTCTGTTTTTGCCATTCACTTATTTAATTTATTAATTTATTTGTTTATGTGTTATTTATATTGCTGTGAGTGCCAATAGCAACGCTTCCGTTGCCCTGCCCCAGATGCCCAACCGGACAATGAGACTGCATTTAACACCCATTCGCCCGCCATTTGCCGTCAACTCATTTAAAACTCGACTGTATTGAACAGTTTTGTTTACTTGCTGCATTTCGGTTAACTAGAGAAAATTACCCGGCGGCGAATCTGGTCAAATAAATAATGCTGGAAATGCAAGTGGCATCAAAATTGTTTTTCTTTGTCATTTTTTATATTTCAATTATTAATATCTTAATATTTGATTTGTGAAAAAGCAAAAAATTAAATAAACAACTGTAAGAACAGCAATTGCTGCTGGATTTGAACCAGCGACTTCCCGCTTACCAGTCCGACGCCCAGACAAATAAGCCACGCAGGCTCATGAGCTCATATTTGCAAGAACTTGCAAACTTTCTCCACCTGACTCCCTTCCTTGTATATCCCATTTTTTCGAAACCCCGTCTCGAAGCTTGTGGAAATCTTGTGTAAAATATCAGCTTTCGATTATATTAATTTTTTAATTTTTAATAATTCTTACAGCTTTGCATCCTCGTGCGGTACGCCCATTAAATATTAAACAAACTTAACAAGGAATATTAAAAAATTCCAAATGTAATAATTAAATTAATAAAATGCAATTTGTTGACAATAATCCACCGTTTGACCATTGTAAGTTGGTTAATGAGCAAACAATGTCATACACAAGTTAATTAAATGGGGTTCAGAAGATAATTTCCAATAACTTTGCCGGCTGGTATTATAACATTATTCCTTTGACTCCGCAATTTGTATTATTTCCTTAATTGTTTTAATTGTTTTTCACAACCTTTTGCTGAATATCATATTGTTTTTTTTTTTTTTTTCTTTAATTATATTTAAAGCTCCTGAACTGACAATAAATTCTTGGCGGTTTGTTTGAAAGTTTGAACACATATTTGTAATATTGTAATTAAATAATTCCAGGGCCCAACTGATTTGGTTCGTTTTTTGGTTTGGCTGTTTTTTGTGCAAATGTTAAGGAATTGACTTATTGTAGAATATAAATTGCAATTCCGGGCTGAAACTGGCTTGGTTCAAAGCGATCTCGTTTGTGGGGCATATTCATAGGCATTTGAAGCTTTTACACATTTATACAATTTACAGACACAGATTTGGCAACTATTATCAATTAAATGCTGTCTCTTATAAGTGGTTTCCGAGAGAAGATATTGCAAGATATACATATATAATAATCGTACATATATCTGGGACTAACCTACGTTACAACCTGAGAGTGTGCTACAAAATAATGCAATATGTTGTCTTCCAAATTATTATATTACAAAATGTTTTTATTGTTTTTTGAAAATAAATATTGTTTCACATATTTGTACAAATGTGGAAATGTGTGTATATTTTTTCAATCCGGAAATATATGAATATATTTAAATATATTCATAATGCGTACATTCGCCCTAACTTATTCTTTTCAAAAAATCTCTCAGTTATTTTTCATATAGTATTATAATAAAATATAAAAATATATACCATTTGCATAGGCATGGTTTGGGAAACCACAAAAAAAAAAATAATGTGCATAGAAACAGACAGAAGGACATGGCTATATCAAGTCGGCTGTTGATGCTGATCTGGAGTATATATATAATTTATTGGGTCGGTGACGTCTCCTTTTATGCGTTACAGATTTAATGACATGATTATAATACCCTCTATAAGGGTATAAAAAGTCGGAGACGACTTCTCTTTCTAATCGTTACACATTTCATGACAAATTTAGAATATTTCCTACAAGGGCATTAAAACAACTGAAGTGTATGATATAATTAGTGTTAAAAAAACTTAAAAAAAAAACGTTTAAATTGTTTTAAAAAAAGTTCAGTTGATCTAATAGTCAAACATTTCACTTTGCTGGTGACATTTCGATGAGCATGTTTGATATGAATTAAAAAAAAAAAAGGATACCCAAAAATATTCGAGGATTTGTTTTTGATTACCTTCGATAAGCGCCACTATCAACAGCACGACGATCAGCATTTTATCATTGCGATCGATAATAACCAGATAATAACGATAAAGCTGCAGTTTTGAAATGATGCGCATTTGATATACTAATTATTATTATTGCTTTTTCTAATTTTTTTCAGAATTCCGTTGCAATTTTCAAAAGTATTTCCAAATTCATTTGGCACAATTCAAGCAATTCGAGTGCTTCAAAAAGCACAACAACATTTTACAACACTAGCACACAAAATACAGTCGAGTACAATTAAAAAAAAAAAAATTCACACACAAAAAGATGATATAATTATTGTGATAATGATAAAGATACGCTATCAATGCATTCGCAGAACCGAAAACACGCGCGAATTGGCGAAATTTAGGTGGAACTGTGTGCGTCTGTGCGAGCAGAGCCTGTGCAGCAGCGTCAAGCCGTTGGAAACGTTGTCGATCAACTGAATGGGCAGCAGCCACGGCAGGCGGCATCTAGACAGCAACCCGAAGCGGCAGCCGAACGGTCGTTCGGCAAATTGCCGAACACTGGTCGTGGACCGTCGCTTGCTCAGCCGTTGGATGCTGGATGCTGGCGCTGAGCCGAGCGGCTATGCCGAACGAACGAGCGGCGAATTGTCGTTGCCAATTGTCGAAGTGGATTTTCGAAACGAATGGAATCCACCATGTGCCGCATGGCATCCACATGGCTGGCACGTGGTGGAACGCATTGCTTATGGATGACAGCGGTGCGGCGGCGGGTCGCTGCGGCCCTTGGCACATGCGCAGCGTGCCGCGAGGGAGGAGTGTCGACGCGTGCTTCTGACAAATGGTACGACAATTGCTACAAGCTGTGGTGGCATTTGGCGGCTTGGGTTTGTGGCAAGCAGCGACGCGGTTGGGCGCCGACAGCCCGCCTGCTGCCGCTGCCGCTGCCACTGCCACTGCTGCTGGGGCTTGGGCTTGGGAGACCCAACAACTGGCAAACGCTTCGGCAGTTGCTTCGCATTTTTCTTTCGGTCGGTTCATCACGCAACTCATGCCACAATGGCCATGGCCACGGCCTAATCATCATGCCACAAGGTACGACTGTAGATGAAAGCCTGCCATTTACTGTTTGATTAACTGCCACAACTGTATGGCCTGAACCTGATGCTGTGTCCTCTGACCCCTAAGCCAGCCCACCCAATACCCAAATGTCCAGCTGCCATAGATTTAACTGCAGCTGCAGCTGCAATTGTCCAGTCCAGTCCAAAAGCGTCAATCATGCAACCGAATGCCAAAAACTTTTTGCCCGCAACTTGGGCCAACTGAAAGTTTTTAATGCGAATCGCATTTTGCAATCAGCGCAGCAGAAACAAGCCGAAAGCGAAGGAGACAGCGAGACAGACAGAGAGAGACAAAGAGAGAGGGAGAAAGAGAGAACGTCATAATTTTCAATTTCTCAATGTCCCCACAGATAATGCTCTCCAAGCGGCAACCGATCAAACTACAAATGACAAAAATAACAAAACCTACAAAACTGAGAATTTAATTGAACTTCAACTTTTGTCAGCGAGTCGCCGTCGAGAGACAAGGCCAAGAGCCAAAAACATGTCGCATGGCCCAATCGCAAAATCTCAGGTTGTCTTAAAATGAAATTGAGCGCACACCGCCGCGACGTAAGCCACAAATGCCACACAGCAGCAGCAGCAGCAGCAGCAGCAGGAGCAGGAGCAGCAGGAGCAGCAGAAGAAGCCGCATCAACGTCTGCATCCGAACCGGGAGCTGACAATTCAAAGTAAGGCTGTCAAACCTGTCGCCAAGTGGCTTAATTATCCAATAGACGAATAGACGCGATGGCGGGCCGGTCGGGGCGGGGCAGGTGAGCTGTGCGGGCCACGTCGAGGTATTAAACTTGTCAGCGAACAGCGAGTGTTGTCAGTCATATTAAATTACGAATATAACTAGTCGCGGCCCCCATCTTGGCGCCAAAAATCATTGGCGTAGCCAGGCGGTAGGCGGCAGGCGGCATGCGGCATGCGGCGGGTGGCCAGTCGCAAGCTGAGCATTTTGGCAATAAATGTAACTCAATTAGAAATGGAGCAAGTTTTGCAGCCTCCCTACCTCACGCCCTCAAAATGCCACACCCACTTGTAATTATGCAATTATGGCGGTTTTTTCGCGGCAACACAAGTTTGCCTAAATGCAATTGCAGCTGCCTGTTGTTTTCGTTTTGTTTTTTCCATACCCTAAACCCATTAAAAATGGTTAAAAAGAACGGGTATTATGATCTGTAACAGCCTGAAGAGGGCATTTCCGACGCTTAATCAGCAATACATAATTTTTAGAACGCGTCGATCTCAGTAAAGAGCTAGAAACTTGAAATTTGAGACGCTTTGATTTTCGATAGTTCGCTTAGTTGCCACGAAATCGATAAAACCACAGATCAAATCTATTAAAACTCGACAGCCCGCTTTATTTCCAAAAAAAAGATAAGAATCGGAAATTAAATTTATTTTAAAAAATCGATAACTCGATTTATTTCCACGAAATCAATAGAAATCGCAGATGAAATTTTGATTGAGTAATCGATATCTCAATTTGTATCCACGAAATCGATTCAAGTCGCATATCGAATTAAATGATCAATACTCACTTTGTTTATACGAAATCGATAAAAATCTATTTAATAATGAGGTTCTTAGTAATTATGTCAAGCAATATGGGACCACGCTATAAATGGGGATACTTGGATGTATTTTGTTATGCAAGAGGGAGTTTTCTGTAACTTCTGTACTGTTAGCCACAGCAGGCTTGCTTGTTGAGCAATCTCGTAAAGTCCTTCCCAGAATATTAGTTTGGAAGTTACGTAAACACTTGGGCTTAATAAAAACAATAAAAGCCTTTATACAATATTATATAGAAAGTACAAATGCTTGCGCATTAATATTAAGCAATAACAATTTCAATTAAATTGTTTTATTTGCTGTTACTTTTGGCAATTCTCCTAAGATTTTTCAAGGACGGCTTAAACTTGTACTAAAGCTGTTGGAGAGATGGAATTTTTGTTTTGAAACAGAGCGATATATATATTAATTGAAATATCGAAAACTAAAATATAAGGTTAAAATCAATAGCAATTCTTTTGGTAAGCATCGATATAATTATTTCTCGATGCTTTTTGTCGTTCCTCAAGCATAAAACGGAGCTCTTAGAGCTAAAGATTCCAAATTTGGTATATGGACTCGATACTATAAACACCTTTAGGTATCATATTTATGCACTGAAAAATTGCGAAAAAATTGGACAATAAGCATTAAAGTTATTCAAGAATGTATATTCCATAGGTCGGGGCCAGGAGAAGAGGAAGCACAGCCGCAGCATAAAGGGAGCAGCTTGCATGTGTGTATGTATGTGTGTTTGTGTTTTTGCGTATGTGTAGAAGAAAGTTCGAAAAGAAAGTTCGTTGTGGCTGTAGCTCTGTGCTGAGCACAGAGTATCTTCCAGTCGGACACTCCCGCCTAGGACACTCTTCTTTTTTAGTTTTGGCTAAAGAAATCAAAGTGCATATGCAAAACTTTGACAGCTCCAAAAGCTGCAATTATGCCTGCTACAAAAGGTATAGACGAGGGCGGAGTCGGGGGCGGCAGCTGACAACAGCGCCGCATATGGTATGCTGCTCCAATAAAAAGTTGCTGTGACAAAAGAACCAAAAATAAAAAATAAAAAAAAAATAACCAACATTAAAAAACAAAAACAAAAACAACAAGCGACGAGCAGAACAAAGAAATCAAAAACTTTTGTTTCTAAAACTCATGTTGAAATCCGCACACGTTCACACACACACACACACGCACATACACACAAAAGCACGCACACCCAAGGCTTGTGGGTGAATTTTGGATTTTGGAAAAGTGTTGCCAGCAGCAGCAGCAGCAACAGCAACAACAAAGAGACACATGCTGCAGCTATAATAAGTATGCAGCAGCAGCAGCGGCGGCGGCAGCGCAAGTTGTTGGTTTCTTGGTTGTTAGGTGTTAAAACAGGCGGAAGTTAGAGGCCATGTACTCGAAGACGAGCACAGCAGCCATAACCCAGCCCAGCCCAGCCCAGCCCAGGCACAGTTACAGCCGCAGTCGCAGTGGCAGCTACTGCTACTGCTACTGCAGGTGCTGCTACAGCAGGTGAGGCTGGGGGTTTGGGTGTGTTTATGTGCACGTGTGCGCCAGACTCATGTACTCAGTACGTGTGCCAAACTGCTGGCAACAATGTGCCGCCAACATGTGTGTGTATGTGTGTGAGTGCGTGTGCGTGTGTGTGTATGTGTGCGTGGGTGTGGGTGTGCTGCCGTGTGTAGTCACACATTTCAATTTGCATGTGTTAGCTACAAACTTTTGATAAGTGTTACTCGTATTACTCGTACATACACAACCAAAACAGACAGATACGCACACACACCCACACACACACACACACACACACATGCTAGAAATTGAAACTTATTGTCAAAAACTCTCATAGGCACATGCATGCACACATATATCAATAACTGCGAGTACATATTGCCACAATTACTTTCAGACACTACGTGCCGTCGCCCAAACACAAAACTTCTCGCTGACATGGCCCCAAAAAAACATATATATATATATTGCAAAGAATATCTATTATTTTATCGGACTTTTGGCTGATGTAGATGCCAACATTATAACCACAATTTTAAATTTTACATAATAACACCTGCATTTGAATTAAATTTTGACCTGAAAGGAAATATAGATTTCAGTCAGAGCTATGCATACTTATATATATTTATATAGCAGATATTTCCCGGTATTGCCCGTGGCAAGTTTCAAGTTTCAAATTTTAGATTTAACTTTTACACCTATTCCCCACCCGTATACAATTAAAATCTACCCGTTCTATCTTTAACTTAGTGCCAAAGGTGGGACTAACAGTTTCCGCCCATTTCATTCTTCTGTTAAGAATTTGAAGCCGAAAAAAAGTTCTTTCATCAAACCTTTCACCCGAATTTGTTATCCAAGATGGGTGGATTTTCTGAAAAGTGTGAAACACCTCTCAAATGATTTTGAACAAAAATTTTTGAAAATAAGTTTGAGGCCGATCAAGCAAAAAAGTTTCATATAGA